ATAGATGAACTCACAACTGAAATATTAATACAAGTAAAGCAAGATATAAGAAGATTAATGAAAGAAATCCTAAGCATTCTCAAGAAGACACAGATGGAAGAATAGAGGAACACAAAAAAAGGAGAGAAACCTTCAATGAAGAATATTTAAAAAACCTAGAATACATGAAACAGATTCAAGGAGATTACTAGGAAATTAAAAACTCCATTGAATGCTGGAAAAATTGCCTTAAATAAACAAGAAGTAGATTAGCAAAATTTAAAAATATGTTTGCAATGTCTGATCATGAAAGGAAAGATCTCTTAAAAGTAACAAGGAAACAGGCAGTAACAATACAAAGGCTAGAAGATGACAAGAGGATGTATACCTTAAGAATAAAAAATGTGAGTGAAGAAGCAGGGGTAAACACAAAGAAAATACAAAGGTTATTCACAGAAATAATTAAGGAAAACTTCCCAAGCATAGGAAAAGGAAATGATATTCAGATGTATGAGACGTACAAAACTCCAGCCACCTACAACCAAAACAGAGCTACACCCACACATATAATAATCAAGATCCCAGAAATTCATCACAAAAACAGTATTAAAAGCTGTCAGAGAAAAGAAACAGATAACCTATAAAGAAACACTCATCAAAATCATAACTGACTTCTTGACACAAACCATCAAATCAAGAAGAGCTTGGAGTGAAGTATTCCAAGCCTTGAAAGAAAATAACCTCCAACCCATATTGACACACCCTGAAAAACTGACTCTCAAAATTAATGGAAATACAAGATGTTTCCATGACAAAGAGGAACAGGGAGAATTCATGACCACCAAAGCAACCCTACAAAAATTACTGAAGGACATTCTAGAGAGGGAGAAAAAATACATGAGGATTTCAGGAACAATGGCAGAGAGGCCTCAATGAATGGGGCAGATGGGGATGAAGGAAAAAAGTAGACAACCAAGGCAGAAAAATAGCATAGCAAAGATGAGGCAGAGAAGGTTGGCTATCACTCTAACATAGATGGCCTTTATACACTAACAAAAAGAAACACAAGCAGAGTAGATAAGGAGGTAGGGTCCATCGAGATGCTCTGTACAGGAAATATAATTAACCTGAAAGAGGATTTATGGACTGAAAATCAAATATGAGAAAACAATGCTCCATGTGACAGGGAACCAGAGAGAAATAGGGGCAGCTCGTCTAGCACCTGCAGATAGATTGGAAAGACATGATACTTTTGTACAGTGGAAAACTACTCAGCTATCATGAAGGAAAACCCTGAGGCTTTTGTATATAAAGAAATACAACTTAAGATCAATCCCAGGGGTAAAAAGCAGAACCACTTAGGTAAATAGTGGATTGCACTCCTAACCTAAAAACTAAAGGAGTTAGTGGGACCCAAAATGTACAATGCACCCTGTGAAAGTGAATGGGGAAGAATTACCTAAAAAAGGAAGGCAGAGGACATTGTTAATAGTATATCATGATTTAAAATCTACATTGTTCTTGTTGCTCTGTTTAGTTTGGTTATATTCTGTTACGTCTGTCTACTTGTACTAGATTTGAGGGCATGACAGCTATCCCAGAAATAGCAGCATATACTATGGTAACCATTCTTAATTTCTTATTAACTTAATCTGAAGCCTTGTATTACTTACACTGTCTTATTATGACTGATCTTTTTTGAATCTGGTTTGTTAGATTGCTGTCTTGTCTTGACTGATCTTATTCAAATCTGTTATGATTGATAGTATCAAGTAAGAGTATATGCAAATACTCTGAAGATGACAAGACTCACTAGATACCCACTCTGGTTTGACTGTTACCTGCTTTTGAAGTCTTATAATGTCTCCAATGTTTTGTTTTTATTAATATTTTTATGTGCTGCTATGTTCAATTATACTATGACTGATGATATAGACAGTTCTATTGAAGATAACAAGAGACATCATAGTAACCATTGTAGATCACCTTGTATTGTGGTTTTATATATTTCATTTTGTGTTTTTCTAGAGATTTGTTTTGTTTTGTGTTGCTGTTCCCTCTAATACAGAAAGGATAGATACACATGTAGAGACTTACTCATGTGTAGAACTTCTAAACAGTTTATGAGAACTGATTATATAATGCATGATGAAATGAACAACTACTTTGAAGAAAAAGACACTAAAGTATCCAGTGCTGATTCTGTAGCATCATAATGTGAAATCCAGCAATACTATTATTCCTCATTCAGAGAGATTTTAGTCTGTTTCGTTTTGTTTAATTTCAATATACATGAAGGTATGAACAGGTATTTTGAAGAGAATGAGAGACACTATCACAGCCATTGTGGACTTCCTTATTGTCTGGTCTTGAAGACTTAAAATGCCTTCATCATCCTGTTTGGGTCAGTTTTATACTATGTTGTTTTGTATGAATTCACTGTATATGAATATATGGACAACTATTTGGAAGAAAACAAGAGATAATATGATAGATAGTAAAGATCTCTGGTTGTCTTGCTTTGAATCTGTGTCTCTTACACTGTATTCTTATATTTTAATTTGTTATGTTTAATTTTACCCTCTTTAAAATAAAATTTAAAAGAAGAATACATCTATGGCCAGGTGTGGCAGCACACACTTGTAACTGAGGCTAGCCTGGTCTTCATAACAAGACCTGCTCTAAATAAGGAAATAAATACATTTTAAAAATGGAAAAATACACTTATGAAGTTAGTCTATATGATTTGTAATTCCTAAGGGTACTTCTTTTTAATTAAGAAAGTAGGCTTTGAGTTTAAAATTTGTACATAGTATCTATACTTACTATATGATATATTATTTTGGATTTTGCTGATATACATCAAGCACCTTTAAAGTGATGGTCAAAAGATTGGTGAAGGGACATGTAGCAACTGGTAATTTAAGTCCTATTGGGTATTTCCTGCTTAAATAGTCTATATTAAACACTAAACTGAATGTAATAAAGGCCTCATGCCATTTTATAAAGTTGGATTTTTTTTTAAACAAGGTCTTATTATATAGTTTAGGTTGGCCTTAAACTTACTATGTAGCCCAGGCTGGCCTGGAATGCATGAAAATTCTGTCTGAGGCTTTCAAGTGCTGGAATTATAGGTATGTGCCATCACACCCAGAAGATTTCTCAAATCTTGAGAAAAATTTGTTCATCCAGATACTGGAGTTAGTTAGATCTTCAAAGAGGCATGACTAGAAAAGAATCTTCTCACATTGTATCTTAAGTAAGATGTTACGAGTATAGCACAAGAAATTCTGTTGAAAGCTGCAAGAGAAAATTGCCAAATAACTTATAAAGGCACACCTATAAGGCAAACCCACTTGAATAATGGTACAGCTTTCAGCAAAAGCTCTGTAAAGACCAAGAAGGGATGGAACAATGTATTTCAAGGTCTGAATAAAAATAATTGCCAGTGTAGATTGCTATATTCCACAAAGCTATCCTTCAGAATTGAAGGAAAAATAAGCAGAAGTGAAAACAATTCATAACGATTTAAGTCAGCACTTAGGATATACCTAAAGAACACTACACACCAATTAAGACTATACAACATGAGTGTAGGAGGAGAGGGTTTGTAGATAGGAAAACATTGAATAGGGGCCTCTGGCTAATCCTGACTAAAGAAGTTAAAACTTTACTACATAAATTTCTCTGGGAAATAGGTCAAGGATGGGGATACAGAGAGAGGAGAGAAAGATAAATAAAGGCATAAATAAAGATAAATAAATGGCTATGGGACTTGCACCAAGAAAGCAGAGAGAGAAAGAGCTGCTGGGCAGAATACAGAGAGACTGCACAAAGCCAAGCTGAGTAGCTGTCCCTCTCCACCTCCCATACAATACAGGGGATACATAAGGGAAGGTGGCTGACAAACTTTGGGAAAAGCTCTTATATAAATATTTACTCACATCTATACCCTAACACACAGACATATACAGACATGTATATTTACACTATATTCATCAGATACTAGAGTACAATAGATATCCACACATGACTTCTTACTAACTCTAAGCTAAACATGAATAAGGTATCCTGTTGCCAGCTAGTTATCCACCCCAAAGATGAGGCCCCGAAAAGTAGGTCAAGGACAAATAAGACAGACAAGAGAAGGAAGCTGCACTTAGATCACTGGAAGAGAGAACACAGGTAGAGGTGCCTGAAACCAGCTGGGTTATGGCAAATTCTAGATAGGGTAAGGGTCCCTCACCCCCTGAGAAAAAAAGGCCCATAGATAACCACTTTTCTGGTCCCCCCTACACTCCGGTTCCTATTAGAGCAGCTATCTATTTTCTCCCCTTTCCAATAAAAATTTTCTTTTTTAAAAAAAACTTTATATCTTTAATGCTTTACTGGTATTAAAATTTATGATCCCATTGAGTTGCTCACTGCAGTGGTACGGGGTGTTTGCCTCATCTAGGGTTGTAATGTAAGTATTGGTATACTATCAGAGAACACAAAACTAGCAATGACAGCACTCAGTAGACACTTTTCAGTACTAATCCTCCTAATTCTTCAGTTAAGACATAGATTGGCAAACCAAAATGAAAAACTAGACCAGGGGATTTCAGGATAGTCAGCTACGGAGTCACAGCCACAGTGAGTGTTTCTGATTTGATGTTAAGGAAACGCAGTCACCCTGAAGTGAAGACAAAACAAAACAAAATAGCAACAACAACAAAAGAGTCTGATATGGGAGGCTTAGTGAACAATGATTCAGTAAGACTAACTAATGTCCAGCGTTTGGGTGGTGGGAGAAGATCATGGTACCCCACCTTCCCCAGACCTAAAATGCATACCATCTTGGGAAAGGTCCAGCCTGTGAGAGGAAGCAACATGACCCCTCAGTGCAAGCCTGGTGAGTTGAACAGTCATGTTATCCTCTCCACTAGGCGAGATGAAGAGAGACATTTCCAACCCAGAGATTCAAAGAAGCCAAAAATATAACAGATTAAAATTTAATTACTGTGCACCTTCACACTTACCTTCAGGGCCGCTAGTAGCACTCCAGTGCTGGTGGGCAGTGCCCTGGTGCCTGTAGCCAGCAGTGAGACTGAGGAGAGAGAAGTTTCCCCAAAACAGACAATGATGATAATAAACTGCCTGTTCCTCCCACATACAATGGGAGTGCTGTAGCTAGAACATTCAGCACCCTCCCTAGGACTGTCAGAAGGCTCCCACAGTGGAGAGGGCACCCTAACAATGCAAGAAGGAAGGAAAAATAGTTTCTGTAGCAATTATGTGGCACAAAATCAGAGTGAGCCAGGACCCAGCAGATCTTCAAGACAGAGGATCTTCCTGTGGTTCCTATGGGCAAGGCTGAAACAGACATCTGCAGTGATCAGTACCATGCCAGCAACTCTTTTTGGCTATGTAATAGGCAAGGAAGACTGTAGAGGAAAGACAGGAAGAAGCCCATGATATTTACCTTCCAAAACAATCAAAGTAATTGGATTGATGGAGCTCTGTGATGGGGCACATCTGGAGTTTGAAACCAAGTCGGAAGTTAGTAGGGAGCAAGAGTCAGCCCTCAAGGCTTTGGACAGGCAATTGTCTGGCCCATGGAGAAAAACTTATGAGGCTAATTGAAACCAGACAGTGATACTGGTGTAGAGAGAGCTGTATGGAGGCTCTGGGTCAGTGCTATAACAACAGTGTGGAGGTTTCAATTCTTATACCCCTTATTATTTTGTAATTGTAGTTATTGTAACCTTGCTACTTTGTTGAATTTGGGTCATTTTGTTTTGGTCTCAAACCAACAGAATTTGGCCCAAATCCTGTTTTGGCCGTCCCAGTTTTTTGTTCTCTTCTTTCCTTTTCATCCCGTTTTCATGTTTGTTATTCGTTTTTCTTTTGGTTCTTACTTGCTGGTATTGGCTAATAATAATAGTTTACATCTCAAGGGTTTCCTGCTGGAGCTACTGTTATGGCTTGTATTTTGATGTCCCCCCATATGGTCACAGGTGAGGAGATTCAAAGTGGATGATTAGGAAAGTGAATATGGATTAAGAGTGCGATGTTGGGATTAAGAGTGCCCCACCTTGGGTATGAGCAGCACTAATCAGATTGTTTTCTAGGAGCACTATAAAAGGAGATGCAGGCTTGCTTCTACTGCTTCTGCTATTGCTTGATACTTGCTGCTCGCTGCCTTCTGCCTATCCTGCTACACTGTGAACTGTTTCTGCTCTGTGATGCCTCTCTGCCATGTCACATTGCCTTGGAGCCAGGTGACTATGGACTGAAACCTCTACAAATTGAGAGCTAAAGAAACTTTTACTGTAAGCTATCTACTCACTTTTTTGTGTCCTTCTTCCTATATTCTCACCCTCTCCTGCCTTATTCATGGTTTTTCTCTACTCCTCAATATCTCTTCTTCCTTACCTTCCCCTTCCTTTTCATCAAACTAGTAGCATAAATATAACAAGGGACTTTACAAATCCATTAGAGAATAAGAATTAACCAGTACTTTTGTCTTAGTTACTTTTCTTTTTGCTGAGACAAAATACCTGATTCCCAAGGTTAATGGGGGAAAAGTTATTTTAGCTCATAGTTTGTGGAGATTTCAGTCCATAATCAGCTGGTTCTAAGACATGGTGGCACATGGCAGAGAGTTCATGGCAGTGGAGAATAGCAGACCAACAAGGGAGAGGATGAGTGGAAAAGCCTCTTTCTTTCTCTTGTATTGTATACAAGTTACCCATCCTAGGGAGGGTATAGCACTCACTTACTTAATCTCATAAGTGGATCATGAATCAATGACAAACTCTAGATTTTAGATTCAGCCACCTCTGAAGATCCCTCCACCCCACCACTGTGACCACATGAGGTTTTGTGGGGACATCTAGATACAAACCATAATATTCCACCCCTAACCATCCCCCAAAAAACTCATCGACATTACTTCATGCAAAAGGCATTTAGTCTATCTCTAAGAGTTCCCAAAGTTTTAACAGTTTCAGCATTTCTGAAAAGTCCAAGTACAAAGCATCCTCTGAAATTCAAGGGAAACTCTTAGCTGTGATCCCCTACACAAATGAAAAGAAATTAAAATACTTAAACATTCAATGGCACAAGATAGACATTGCCATTTCAAAACTTACAAATGGGAATACAAAGGAATGGAACCAAAGTGAGTCTACAATGCATCCGGGCAAATATTAAGTCCTGTAGTACCATGTGCAGCATCTGAAGCAATCTGTGGCAAGATATGAACTTGCAAGAGCTTGGGTGGCTCTGCTTTTAAGGCACTGCCAGTAGTTGTAGCTCTCATGTTCCTGTCTTGGGCCCACTCTGCTGCCTCCTTGCAGGTTCCCACTCAGATAATCCGTGCTCCTGGGTTCTTAAAACTTCTGGGGTCTCCCCCTAAACTCCATTGAAAGACTCTTAGATATAATAAATAAATTCAGTAATGTAGCTGGATACAAAATCAATACTCAGAAATCAATAGCATTCCTATACACTAACAACAAAATCACAGAGAGAGAAATAAGAGAAGCCACACTCTTCACACTAGCAAGCAAAAAAATGAAATACGTAGGAATTACTCTTACGAAAGAAGTGAAAGACCTATACAGGGAAAATTATAATACACTGAAAGAAGAAATTGCAGATGATCTCAGAAAATGGAAAGACATCCCATGTTCATGGATAGGAAGAATAAACATTGTGAAAATGGCCATTCTCCTAAAACTGTTATACAGATTCAATGCAATCCCAATAAAAATACCATCAACATACCTTATAGGTCTAGAGAAATCACTCCTAAAATTCATCTGGAACCAGAAGAGACCTAGAATATCAAAGGCAATTCTAAGCAGCAAAGGCAAGGCAGGAGGCATAACAGTCACTGACTTGAAGTTATACTACAAAGCAACAGTAGTAAAATCAACATGGTACTGGAATCAAAACAGAGCAGAGGATCAATGGAATAGATTAGAAGATACAACCACAAGTACAGACACACTCAACCACCTTATCTTTGATAAAGGAGCCAAGCAGGTTCACTGGAAAAATGACAGTCTTTTTAATAAATGGTGTTGGAAAAACTGGCTTTCCATTTGTCAAAAACTAAAACTCGACCCAAGCCTATCACCATGTACTAAATTAAAATCTAAATGGATCAAAGATCTGAATATTAAAACAGAAACACTAAATCTATTGGAAGACAAATTAGGTAGAAACCTTGAAGACATAGGGGTAGGTGGAGAATTCATGAACAGGACTCAAACTGCACGGGAAATACTTCCCAGAATCAATAGCTGGGACCACTTCTTGTTAAAAAGTTTCTGTAAGTCAAAAAACAAAACAAAACAAAACAAAACTCCAGCATAGTGAAAAGAAAACCCACAAACTGGGAAAAGATTTTAGTGAACTCTCTCTCAGACAAGGGACTTTTGTCTAAAACATATAAAGAATTAAAAAAACTCAGACCCCCAAAATTCAAAGACCCAATCCAAAAATCTGAGATGAATACACACTTCTCAGAGGAAGAAATGCAAATGGCAAATAAATACATGAAAAAATGTTCATCATCATTGGTCATTAGGGAAATGCAAATTAAAACCACACTGAGATTCCATCTCACTCCCGAAAGAATGGCTAGAATCAAGAAAACCAACAACAACAAGTGCTGGAGAGGCTGTGGGGGAAAAGGAACTCTCCTACACTGTTGGTGGGAGTGTAGACTGGTACAGCCTTTGTGGAGGTCAGTCTGGAGATTTCTCAAAAATCTGGGATTGGAAGTCCCATTTGTTCCAGCTATTCCACTTCTAGGCATATTCTCAGAAGAACTGAAAGCATCATACCACAGTGATATATGCGCACCCATGTTTATAGCAGCACAATTTGTAATAGCCAGATCTTGGAAACAACCCAAGTGTCCATCAGTTGAGGAATGGATAAAAAAGTTGTGGTATTTCTAAACAATGGAGTACTACTCAGCTATAAAGAAGGATCACACTGAGGTATTTATCAATAAATGGGTGCAGCTTGAAACCATACTCATAAGTGAAATAAATCAAACTCACATCTGTGAACACCAAATAGTTTCCCTAGTGTAACAAATGATTCAAATATATAAAAGTATGTGGTAACCATGATTCCCCATTATGTGGACTTGAAGCCTTAGAAAGTTTTCACTCATTAATTGGAATGGCTTTATTTTGGGCTATTTGATATTATGTCTTGTGATGCAATGAACAGCTATTTTTTTTGTTTTTTTTTTCCTTTTTATCGGTACCAGGGATCGAACTCACGACTGCCTGATTACAAGGCAGGCGCTCATGCCGCTGAGCTAAATCCCCAGCCCCTGAACAGCTATTTTGTAGAAAACAAGACATCATAATAGCTAGTGCTGATTTAATACCATCTTGTTTTGAAGCCGCACCAAACTATGCCTCTTCTGTCTCCATTGATTTTATCATGTTGTATCTTGCTGGATTTTATTTTATATGGTAGTATAAACAAAAATTGTTATAGGCAAAGAGACAATATAGAAACCATTGTTAATTTTTCTGTTAGCTGGTTCTAAATACTCTACAATGCTTTCATCCACTTGAATGGTGTTACACTGTCTTATATGTTTGATGCTATAGCATATGAAGTTATATTCAAATATTTCAAGGAAAGAGACACTATGGTAACTACTATTGTCGGGTTATTTGGTGGTGAAGCACTAGGTTGCTGAAAGTGTCGTGCTTTAACCTGTATTGTTACGTTGTTATGCCCCCTTTTATCTCAACCTCTTCCTTATTCATTAAAAAATTATTTAATTTTTTAAAATTTCTTTTTTAAACTAAGGGGAAAAATTAAAAAAACTAGCAGGATATATTATAGTAACTTTTTTGATTTCCTATTAACTTGAAGTCCTGTAATACTCCCGTTATCTTGTTTTGACTGATTAGACTCTATTCTGCTCTGTATGAAAGTGTCAAGTATCAGAGTATAGGCAACTACTTTGAAGGCAATAAGATTCACTATGATGCCCATTCTGGGTTGACTATTACCCTCTTTTGAGGTTCTGTAAGATTTACAATGTTTAGGTTTTATTGGTTTTGTTCTCTATTGTTTTGTT